ATTGCAGTTCAATGACTTGTGGGTTTGAAATACCAGTAATGGTACCTGCCTCAGGGAGATTAACCCATGAGACCTTTTCTTTACTAAGGGATTATAGAGAAGTTGTCTTCCCGGTGGTGCAAAAGAGGATTGTGGGTCTCTTCCAAAATGCTACTTCCTTGAAAAATATGGTTTCAGAGTGGGTTTTCCAGGAGAGTAGATAATTTAGCATTAGTTCCCAGGCCTGCATTTCTGTTGTCCCTGTAGTGGTTTATGGCACAAATGAAAAATATCTGGAATTAGATTCAGGTTCTTAAGTTGAGACAACTTCAAGAAAGCCAACAAGGGCGTTGGAAGGAAACCACTGTGGTTTCATTTAGAAAAGGATGAGGCATCTCCAGTGAAGCCACAGTTCCTTAAATAAGTGTTCCATTTCGTCCATGACCACTCTGGAGTACCTAGCACTGATGTCCCTCGCGGTCCCCAGCAAGGTCGCCAGCATTTCACAATTGCTGTCGTGACTGTGGCTCCCCAGGCAGGGTGTATGATCCTTCTTGCTGCCATAGAGCATGGGTATATTTAGCTCAGGAACCATGCTTAGAAGATGGGCAGAATGAGTTGTCATGACCTCTGGTTTCTGTCCTGTCCTTTCTCCGAGGATGTGAGTTACCTTGGTTGACACTCAAGAATGAATAGAATGCAGACGTAGCTGGGGTGAGTGAAGGCTATACATTGGTTTTCATGATTGTTAAATTTTCATTTTATATACTCAAGGAATTTGTATATGTATCTAAGAATGTAAAATTTCCCACTGCAAAGGACTAAAACGACATATTTCTGTGTACTATCAACTAATGATTGTGCTAACCATGGAAAAGAAACATCCCCGTTAAATACCTAATTGAGATTTGATTTCACGTTGGAGAGTAGAAATTCATGGGAAGAATTCTAAGGGATGTGTGGGCTGCATTAACTGGGCGCTCAGAAACACAGTCAGCTCTCAATAGAACATAGTCATCAGCAGTCATTTTAGTTAATATTGACTGAGTGCTTACCATGTACCGAGCACTGTTCTAACAACTCAATGACATCGTAACTCTACAAGGTAGGCGGGATGATTCCCATTTTATAGATGAAGAAACTGAGGCACAGAGAATTTATGGATCTTGTCTAGATTCACAAAGTAAACTCAGAGCCAGAATTCAGCCCCAGCCAGCCTGACTCCAGGGCCCCACCTGAGAACCTTTCCTACGTTCTGTTGCCCTCCAACTTGGCATACGGGTCCGCTTTCTGATGCCCCTGCTCTTCCTCACAGGGTTTCAGGGTGTCATTCGAAGAGAAAGGGGGAACGATCCTTTCTCATGTGATGCCCACAGCTTTTCCTCTCCTGTTCAGACAGCAGCCCTAGCTCCATGGAAAGGGCAACCTGCTCATTGAGGAGCTTCTGAGGTCTGAGCCTATGCTGAGTCAGGGTACTTGGAGCAGGTAAGGAGGCCCTAGACTAGTGGTGAAGGAGAAAACAAAGGGCCTTCTCTCCTCTCCAAACGCCCCAAAGGGCTCCAGCACCGATTAGCTGTCTTGGAGCAGGTGGAGCTTTTTTACGGAGAACAATCAAAGCACAGATAATCTTCCCACACACATAGGCATGTTCACACAGAGTACACATCTGAATTTTTATATTTCAAGCACTGATAAATTGAGATTTGCTGGCATTGTGGCACTGAGCAGATGAAATTATTATAGGTTACATGTTTCTGCCTATTTTGCACAAGGAATAAGAGAAGAAATTGTCTAGGATGAGTCTGGGATGTGTTTTAGCTTTGGCTTCAAAGCACCTTATAGAAAAATTTCACAGATATACCTGTGAAAGTGCAAATTATGTGATGTTGGCTATTCAAATCAAAAAGACTGATTTTTAAGAAGTGTGCCAGAGTGTGTTCATATTGATGAAAGCTGTCTCTTCCTGTAGTAAAATTGGAAGGCCATGTGCTTATTCTAATGTTCTTGCCATGGCTAATCAAATTTTCTTTAAATATTAAAAAAAAAAACTGATTAGCATACATTCCAAGTGATCTTGATTGATAACAGATTGTTGCCCTTTGAAGACAAATTTCATTTTTTTTAATAAGTGGAAATAATCAGGAGCTGCATCTGAAAAAAAATATGGGTGATAAAAAAAGGCAATAAGACTTCTGGTGAAACACAGGGTGTGACTATAATAATAAGATTAAACTTAATTGTGTAAAGTCATTGCTGTGAAGGCAATTTCCAAAAAAAGCAAATACTACAACAACAACAAAACTTGCATAGATGTGTGGTAGTGTTAAGTTTGTGTTCTCTTGGTTTAACAGGTGGCCACTTGATCCAACAGCAATTTTTCTTATGTTTGAATTCTCTTAAGGGTGTTTACAAGACTCAGTTTCATATTTATAGTCACATGATGTATATATTTAAGCAATAGTTGTGGTATAGTTCAGATTTAATGATAGGAACAATTATATCCTAACATTGTCTGATAAGAAGAAAAATCAGATTAGGTCAGCAATTCTGGTTTAGAGATAATTTTGCTATAAAACCACGACTTTTTCTTGTGTGCCTTACTTATAATCCTTTAAGGAGTATTCAGAATGGGTAAGAGTAATGTAAGTTTACTCTGAGCAGAAAATAATTTACGAAGTTCTCTTGGTAGCAAGTCTTTTTTCCTATAGCACAGGGGGAAAAATGAACATACTTTGAACTTCTCTAGTAGGACTTCATTTTTATTATTGTCACTAGATCTAAAATTTCAAAGAGATATTCTATAGTTTTGAATTCTAATTGAAAGTTGCACATTTCATTCTTATTACTCCTGGGTTCAGTTTTGGGAAATGGTGGTTGGTTCCCAAATGACATACAGAGAAGAAAACGCTGGTCTAGGAGTTAACAGAGTAGGACAAAGTCTTTTCTATATATTTGTTATTACTAGATTTGTGATGTTGAACAAATTACCCTGTCTCTCTGGGCTTTAGTAATCATATTGTTAAAATGAATAGAAGGAACTACAAAATGTCTAAAAGTTCCACTCAATTCTAACCTTCAGTGGTTTAATGTTCTCTAAAGTTGCAAATTGAGTATTTTTTGGTTTTAGTAGCACAGATATCCTAAGATGCTGGCTTACTTGGCATGTGGCATTAAGAAAAAGAGCTAACTCAACAAATCTATTTTATCTTTCCTCAAAGTCTGAGCTGGGAGAGGGAATGACCTACCCTAGTACTCACACAGTCATTATTCTTATGGGGAGGCAACTTAACAGCTAACTTGCCTGTTTCTTGGTTGACATACCCGGGAATTATCATCATTACATGCTTCACGAATTGCTTGATGGGCGGACTGTAGTCTTTTGGAGTGGCACATTTTGCAATATTCCCTTGCTTTTGATGGTTTTAAGCCACAGAACCATGATGAAAAATCAACTCTCTTTCATCTGTATACATACTTGGCTTTGAATTCTCATGCAGATCAATCTGATTATAACCATTCTACACTGGACTAGAGTAATTCAGAACAGAGAGCAGCTCATCATATTCATGATCATGAAATTGTAGACCATTTACATTTTTTGTTAGGTCACAAAAATATTGTAAATAAAACCCTCTAAGAAATTCCTAAGTTCTTAACTCCTCATCCAGGGCTCTTTTCACTGTATCACAGTTACAAAAATAAAGCAAAATATTTGCTAAGAGTAACTCGATATAACTTCTCGGATTACCAGAAAACCTTTGCGAATTCAGACACCATGGCACGTAAATCTAACAGTTTCTATTCCTGGTTGTAAATGATTTTCAGAGATGGAACACCAAGATGTCTGAATTGTGCATCAATGCTCAGCTTCCAGAGAGTGACTTGAGAGATTAAATGGGAAGTCTAGCTTTCCATATACACCTTTCATTGAACATTTTAAAAACTCAGCACATTTAGAGGGAGGCCAATATTGCCTGACAACAGGGAATAATAATTGGTAATGCGACCACAGTTCTAATTCAGGAATATTGGGGGGGGGGGGGTGTGTGTGTGTGTAACTGGAATTGACCTTGGAATAGAAAACTCACGGCAAAAAGGCTCTTCAGTAAGATAATGCATACTTTTAAACTGCAAATTCTACGTGAAGATGAAATTTTTGGTTCTAACAGACAACCAAGGAAAGCTTATGAACCTAAAATAAAGTTGTTCATGGCCAGCCAACCCTGGTGGAAATGAGAATACACCTTGGCATACTTAAAGTGTGAAAATCCCTCAAATTTCAAATGATTCTTAGTGGGTTTTTCAAGCTTTAAGGGTTTAGGGTAAAGCAAGTTCTTTTAATATTTTAGAGTTATGGACTGAAATTCTAGAAATAAATGTACATATAATTTATCTTTTCTTTCGATAAGGATCCATGTATCTGTCTCTATATCTATTTACATCTATCATCTTTGCGTCTTCCAAAGCTGGCTATGAGTAGATTTGGAGCAAGAACAAGGAAGAAAGACAAAGAAAGGAAATAGAGCAGGAATGGAAGGAAAAGGAGAGGAGGAAGAAGAATTTTATGATCTTAGCCAGTTTGTAGAAACTATTTCTGGCTTGAATAACTTTCTTATATATTTCTCTATGAGACGTTACTATTAAAAATGATATTATGACGAGCTCTGACTATTCTTGTTTCAGTATAAATCAGCAGATAAACCTCTTTTTCTTTCTTCGATTTTCCTTCCTAGGAAAGGAAATCCCCATCTAGTTGACATGAATCTGGCAGTTTCCTCCCATATCTAAAATGGAATCCTCTTGGCACTTCCAGTGGAGAGCTACCAGGCAAGCTGACTTCCGCATCTTTCAAGTCAGTGAATGCAGAAGTTAGCCCACTGGCTTCTGTGGTTGAGAATTCCATCCTCTCCCTCTTGACTGCATTTGTGAGTTCCTGAAGCTGTGCACTTGATAAAAATGTTGGATCACTCACTTGAATGGAAATGACTATTCTTTCATTAAGTGTATAGCTCTAAGTTTGAGTTGAATTATACACAATTTTTGTGAAAGATAGTGTATCAATCATCTTTTGCTGAGTTTTACTGCAATCACACATGATCCTCAAATTTCAGTGTCTTACAAGAGCAGAAGCTAATATTTTGCCCATTTTATATGTTGGCCATAGGCCACTTGTGGCGCTCTCCCTCATGCTCTTCACTTTGGGATCCAAGTTGATAGAAAAGCCTCATCTGAGGACCTAATGAGCCTTGTGTCAGAGGAAAAAGAAAGAGGTGGTGGATCGTCACAATGGCTCTCAAAGCTTCTGCATATGTCACTCCCACCGCCATGTCATTTGCCAAAGTAAATCACACGGCAAGTGTGATAGGAATGTAAAGTCCTCCTACATGAAAACACAGTGAATATTTTGAAAAATAATACAATCTACCAAACAGAATATGAGCTATAACTGTTTAAATCTTTGTTCTCTGCTGGAAGACTAAAATGCCAGCTTGATCCTTGCCTCGCCAGCCTTTCTCGTAACTTGTAGCTTTATCCTTGTGACAACAAAACAGGAAAGCCAAGAAGCAAGACTTGTGGGGAAAATCTTTTGTTGGCCTTCAAAAAGTACCCAAAGGACCATCTCCTCCAGGAAGCCTTCCTGGATTAGTCCAAGAGTCTCCCACTTACCAGTTCTTTTTATGACAGTCCCCTTCCACTGACCTTACTCCATCAATGAGCACTTCCCTTTGTGGTAATATAAAACAGTGATGAAAACATGCTTTACTGCTTGTTTCTCCTATTGGATTAAAAGTTATCTAAGAGCAGAGATTGCTATGCACCACGGTAAAGTTATTGCCTAACAGTGAAGTTCCTTAAAATTGTACCAAACCCTGACTTGGTTATTCTATTCACTTTTCAGATGAGAAAATAATTTGCTTTCAAGATCTTTCACCACTTAGCTTTTTCTTTCTCAAGATGTAGAGTAAAGCATAGGCAATGTTCATTCATTCATTCATCCGTTCAACAAACATTGCCTGCCTGTTATATTCCACATGCTAAGCCAGGCGCTGACTTGTGGCACCAGATTCTCACAGTTCCTTCTCTCCTGGACCTTACCTTTTAGTGGGAGTGACCCAGACAAATCACATAGTCACACAGTTATAAACTGTGATAAAGACTAGGAGAAAAACTTAAAGGGTACTCTAAGAACATATAGGAGACCTGACTTACTTTGTGTCTCTGTGAAGTCTTCGCTGAGGAAATGACAGTTGAGCTGAGATCTGAGTTAACTATATAAAGAATGAAGGCAAAACAGTTCAAAGAAGATGCAAAGGCATGTGCAAAGGCCCTGAGGTGGAAGGAGGGAAAGAAAGGCCGGTTGTGAGGGAGTATACAAAGCAAAGCAGTGAATGATGTGAAAAGCAAGTAGGGTCTTGTATGCCATGTTAAGGGTTTGGGTCTTTACTCACTGAAGGGTCTTTAGGAGGCAGGAACATGACAAAATTTGAATTTTCAGATGTTACTCTGGTTGGCATGTGAAATGGATTGGAGAGTGGCAAATGGATGGCAGGATATCAACATAAAGTCTTCTGCAGTAGTAAAGATAGGAATTTCTGCTCAGTGCAAAATTGGCATCTAACAGTTGGATGACACATGACTGATATTCTGGATCTCTTGGTTATAACATTTAATTTAAAAAAAACTAGACTGCAATCTAGCAGAAAAACATTTAAGTTGGCTCATAGTTCTTGGTTTACAACACTATTCAAAATATACCTCTGAGCTAAATAATCCCAACTATATCAAAAGAATGGGTCAATGACCTTCTAATACTTTCAAAGGATGGGCTTCAGGGAATCGATGAAGCTCCTGAAATTCCATTACAATTGTGTGTGCTTATGCTTCTATGTTTTTCTAGGGCGAGAATCCATGAATTCCATCAGATTCATTACTCCCAAGTGCTAAGAACCACTGGTTTCCATTATCACGTGACCAACCCATAGTTACCCCATCACCAGAATGCAGTCCTGGGTAATAAGTCTTGAATTAATGGAAAAGCTTACTGACTGCCAAAGGTTCAAGCTCCTCTTCCTAAGTGCAAAGTGCTTGCTGGGAAGTGGCTGCCCAGCCAGAGACTGTATTTCCTAGTCTCCTTACATCTATGAGTGAGGCAGCACGTGACTACTTCTGACCAATAGAATGTATGTAGACATTTTGATTGGTACTTGTGTGTGAAGTTGGGTACGTGTCTGATATATGTTTTCCAAAATGTTCCCACCTTCTCTATTGACCTTGGAGGCCGTGTTTTGAAACTGGCAGCATCACAAGATGGAAGAATCTGTGATTACTGAATCATGGAGACAGTCAGGAGAGCTGTCCAACTGAACACCTGCATTGGATTTTGGTGATTAAGAAATTTTTATTATCTTACGCAACTGAGATTTAGGATTATTTGTTACAGTAATTAATCTACTCTGGCATACAAAAAGAACATCCCACACAGGAACACACAACAAAATGACTGGGGAAAAATCCTCTTTGGATTTCTTTCTGGAACCGAGAACTAGCGCCGTTTTGTAAGCTGTAGTTTCTTGGTGTTGTTTTGCGATGTATAAGTTACTCTGAGCTCAAATTTCTCACAAATCTAGTCCTTGGTTTCATGACAGCGTGGTTACCATAGATAGCTAATGTGAGTGACTTTTAACCCCATGAGAGCAAGTTTAATAAGGTAAAAGACAGACATGTTATAAGTGGGTAGACATACTCATTTATTCATTCATTTATTCAAAAATATTGGTTTATTGAATTTCTTTAATGTGTTTTAAAAGGTACCTGGAATTTTGTTTTAATCAAAATGGTATAGTGAGATAACAGACACAGAGACAACTGTTTTTGAAAAAAGAATATTTTGCTTACAGTTCCCAAGAAGATGGACACTCTAAGCCACCCAGGGCCACATGGAGAAGCACCAGGGTTGGTAAGGAGGCAGAAGGAGTGAAGAGAAAGCATGGGCAATGCCTTTATTTTGGTTTTCATGGAAAGAATGGGCCAGGCAGGGTAGACAGCTGAACAGGCTTATGATTGGATAGTTTGAATAATTTTGGCAGGTTCTGGGGTGACTGCGAGCAGGAGGATGGTGTGCTGAACTGCAGGTGCCTGATAAAAGGAGGTGGGTGGGAGTATAGACTCAGGATGGGTTGGTTTGCATATGAGAGATGTGCTTACAGGCAAGTTGCTTAGTATCTCCAGGAATTAGCTAATCCTGGGGGGGGGGCAGTTCCTCCTTAGTCCACAAGGCCCCAAGATGTCAAAGCATCATAAAATATACAAAATAAAAAACACGACTAATACATAATAGACACATATTTAAAAAAAATAAGGCACTGGGTTCTAAGTAAATCAAATCAACTAAATAATTACAAGGACACAGATTTACTAACATTCACTAGACACAGTTAATGTCTCATTACTCTACACCATGAAGGTCATTTTGATCACTGCACATTTCTACCAGAATTATTTGCTTAAATATGTCCATCAGGTTGTTCAAGATTAAAATAAAGGCTTGGGTATTTCAAATTATTAAAAGGAGGTTCTTGCAGAAATGTCTAAGTACTGCAGGGTTTAGATTAGAACTTGTATTGAACCATGAACCTGAAAAATATGCAGCCTCCGTTGGTTCTGGAAGATAAATGCAATACTTTTTAACAAGTACTTCCAGTTCTCGTCCTCCTGCAAGAACAACCTTCTAAAATACAGTCCAATTCCTAAAACTTTTCAGGGGCTGCCCCTTGCTTATTGCCAGCATTTTCAAACTTCAATCATTTATAGACCACCTTCCCAATTTTTGCTATGTCTGTGTAACACCTTTTTTTGCATTTTCTTAATTTTTTCTGCAGATCAACTCACCATGGTACTATCTACGTTAGCTTCATCTTAAGTAATTTTTGTATCTGTATAATTTTGAATTTAATGTGCTAATTACATATTTTTCCCTAATTTGTATAAAACTAAATACATAACCACTAAAAATCTTTAAAATATTGTTTGTGTACCATGCCGCAACACACTGATAACTGCCAGTGGTGCTCATGCCACCCTGTGGGAAATCCCAGCTGGGACGATGGTGTTCAGTCCACTGAGCATACATTTCAAGACTCCTCATGTTGTAGCCCCTGCTCCCTCCTTTCTATCACCCTCTTCAAGTGTTCAGACATCAGTCATGATGACTGAGCTTAATTCCCTGACGATGCTGTGCTTTGTCTTGCTTCCACACCTGCCTGAACAGGTTCTGCACCTTTAACACTGCCTTCCCCCACCTTTGATGGGCCCTTAAGCTGCCTCTAAAAATCCCCACTAGCTCTGTGCGAGGGCTTCTCTCCAGGCTCCTTCCTACTCACAGCCCCAAACCCGTGCTGCCTCCACTTTCTGCTTCTGTCCCGCTGGAGCCTGCCATTCTACTTGGTCCCGTTAGGATGGTATGTGGGTATTCTTTTCCACTAGGTTTAATTCTGCCTTCATTCCTCAATGCCGCCTTGGGGGTCTCCTTCACACTTTGTACCCCTGGGCCAATCCTGTCCCACTCCACTCAATTTTTCATCCTAGGTTCCTAGAACCCCAATCGGAGTACAACATTGCAGACTCCCCATTCACCCAAGGGGAATACAAGGCTTCTCCAGGGCTGTTCCTTCTGCCTGGAATGCTCTTCCTCTCCTTAGTCTTCTGGTATGCTCCTCCTGAGCTCAAAAAACTCAGTTCCAGTATTACTACTTCCTAGGAGCTTCCTTGCCCTCCCTAGGCAGAATTACATTTTTCCTGTTCTCTTGTCTCATAGAAGTTACTTTAATTGCTGTAATTATTAGTCCAATATCTGTCTCTTCTGCTTGTTTGAGGAGGTACAAGACTGGGCATATATTTAGTTATCTTTCTTTCCCCAGCGCTTTACACAATGCACAGTACATGGACAGTGCCAAAATGATGTTTACTGAATGCATGAATAAGTTAATAAACTGGAAATGTATTAATATATACCTTGGAACAATTTTGAAATTTAGTTCCTGGATATGATACAAGAATGGGAAGAGAAATGTTCCTATGATAAAATAACGTGAGGAATAATTGTCATTGAGCGTCCCCCAGTCCCTGACTCCTCACCCCCTCATCCCACTCCTGGGCACAGGAGACCCATGGGATAGCGAGAACTTTTACTTACAAGATGGAGCAGGAAGTGGCCTGTGACCCAGGGGTGAAAGGTCACGTTCACGCCCAATCCCCAGAGATCCCATAAACTAAGTCCTGTGAAGAATTTTGTTAGGGCTAAACACTAGGAAAAACACTGGATATTTACACAGTACATTTTTCCCTCGTTTAAGCTGAAGAAAAAAAAAGTGAAAAGAGGGGGAAAAGCCAAAATTAAATAAGCCAGCTGGTTTAACTTCTCTTTTTACATATTTTCCATTGCAATCCTCTCTTAGTCATAAAGTCTTTCTCAACCACTTTACTGCTTTTCACTTGGCTGAAGTTTTTCAGCTTTTTTTACGTTAAAAAAATGCAGAATGAAAGGTTGAGTAGATTGTGATTTTATTCTCTATTTCTCTTCTATCCTTCCCCCTCGAACTCACACACACACACACACACACGCACACACACACATGCTTACTATCCAACTGTGTTTGGTTAAAAACCTGTTTCTGATAACAGCTACCCAGAAACAGGATCTCTGCTCTTTTTGACAAACAAAGCTCATCTTTCTTGAGGTGCAAAAAATATCCCATGTTACTCCCCATTCCCCTTGCCTGCCAGTGTCGCACACTCCATGTCCCCTTCTCTTTGCAGGCAGGGCTTTGGAAGAGGCAAGAAGGACAGCTGCTGAGCAACAATAGTTCGTTACGGAGCCAGTAAATAGACAAGGCCTCATTTTCTTGACCTTTTCCACCCCTGCGCCTCAGAATGAGCGTTTTGATTCTGGGTCGTGGGGGGAAGAGAAGTAGGAGAAGGGAGGCTCCTTTTTCACTTTGTCTGCCTCTGTCCTTAAAAGTAAAAGAGAGAAGTGTTCATTGGGAAATTTTGCTTAGTAATTTTGTTCCTAGTCTTAAAAAACAACCAAAAAAACACGTTGTGTTGTGTGTGTGTGTGCGTGCGCGTGCGTGTGTGCGTGTGTGTATGTGTGTTTGGGTTTAGCAATTCCATTTTAAGAGGAGTTGCTCCATAAGAGAGGCCACTCTTCCTTTCGGAGGCCAGCGACTGCTCAGGGGAGGGGAGCCTCACTGGTGTCATTTCAGTAGGCCACTGCACGTGGACGAGCCGGCCAGGGAGGGGGCCTTTGCACATTTGTGGCAGTTCAGCTTTTCCAAGTGGGGAAAATAATGTTAACTCTTTCCAAGAATCAAGGAGGAATCCGTCTGCCCTGTTCAGCTCTCAGACAAGGACCACCCCCTAACGCCTCTCGCCAGGTGATCATGAGGCATTCCTTTCTACAAACTCTTACCAGGTTGGGAACATTTTATCTGCGTGGAGCTCCAACACAACCCTGGCTTGGTAGCTGCAAACCTCACTCTGGAAATGCCGGTCACCCCAATCCAGTGCCATCCAGACTCCCCACAGAGCAGCCTGATGTGGTGGAGCCTTTCTTTTTGGAAAAAGTCAGCGAGTGAGAAGTAAATCAAAGCTTTGAGCCTCGCCTGCTAGGCTGCCCATGTGTGTGGAGCTCAAAGCATCTGCTTCTCTCCCTCTCCCCCTCTCTAACAAAAGAGCCACTAATCCTGATTCCTTTACACAAAAACAGTGTGAAACCAGCCTAGGGGCTGGAAATAGAGTGAATGCTGTAGGAGCAGCTGGCACATTAATGCCCCCAAAAGCACTAGCTGGCACCTCATCCTGAAACCCAGTCACCCTGTCTCTGTGGGGGCTGCAGAGGGATTCAGTTTTGCTACAACACAATGAAGTATATTTTTAACAAATAAACACAATTTGGGCAGAGTGTAGGCATCTTTGGCCAGTAAGTGCTTTATGCACTGGCTGTGGACTCCCTGTATCCCTTCCACTCTCAGTACCCCCCTCCCCCAGGGGTAAAGGCTGGGAAGAGAAGTGAACTCCCACAAATAGATAAAATAAGAAAGGAATGGCTGTGCCCCCACTTTACAAGCAAATATTACTTCTCCTTCTGATTAGCCGCTGCCTAAACAACCCTCGGTAATTTTATTTGCATTTTCTGAAGTCTTGAATCTTGCCTAACAGCTAGCAAGGTGTGTATTTAATCACCATTTTCTGAACTCTGTGTCTTGTCAGCTTTACCTGCCGAATCTTCCAGGCAGGTTGGACACGGAGTTGTGATTTTCTTTGACTGTCTTGGCGTCAGTGTCTGCTGATTCCTTGGGTCTGGGGATGAACAAGGTTAAGGAACACAGCCAGCTTTTCTTACTACCTCGGCCGCATCCCATGCTGGGAATTCACAGCTGCTGTGTGGTTTGGGGGAGATTTATTGGGAAAGAGTAAGTTTTAGTTAATTCCAACAGCTCGTGAAGTCATATGCGACTCTTACCCAAGGGTTCAGATACTCTCTCCAAGGGAGAGAGAACTGTGAGGGAGAAGTGAGAAGAATACGCTGAAAGCAGGAACATAGCATCATGGAAGAGAAAGAACCTTCACGTGGGATTCGGGCTGAAAATAGGGAAAATCCCAGAGAAAGAATCCCTTCTCTTTTTCTAAATGCTACTCCACGCTCCCCGTGCCTCAGAGCCTTTCATAATTGAGGTCTGAATTGGAGTGCTTCCTGAGGCTGCCACGTGTGATGACACTTAATTTCAAGCAGCCAAGTCCATTTCAACCCAGATTTTCACACTGACAAGGTGAATCCGAATAATAGCTGTATTGAGGCTGGTTTTTGAATGACTTGCCCAGCTGATATGAATGTTACTTTTTCAAAAGAGAATATGCTTAATAGTTCAGAAACAACGTTTTGTGAGCCCAGAGTTACCTCAGGAACCCAGACAAGTGCAGCTCTTGGAACACCCTGGTCTCAAAGGATGGCTGTCTCCCATGCTCCCTCCCAGGTCTAGCTCAATCTGTCTCTACTGAACTATTTCACCCGAGCCATGCCTAAGCCCTATCAAAATCCATGACCTCTTTTCAATTCCTTGGTACCTTGGCTTCAGAGTGGAATTTGATTTTCTTTGTCTTCCTAGCATCGGACCAATCCTGCTCTGTGTTTCATTGGTTTTGTTTCCTCCTTCAGGTCTCTGAGTTTGAATAATTCCCAAGGTTTGGTTCCTGGTTGTATCACAGGATATTTGTGCCCGATTAAGCCTGACTCTCCAGGCACCCAAGATAAGGAATTCCAGGCTTCATGTCAAGACAGAGACAGAACAACTTCTAAAGGAAAACAGGAGGCCATCTCCTCTCAGGCATCCTTAGGAACTTCCCAGCAGACTTATCAAATCTCATTGCCTGCTTTGTGTCCCATGCACATTCTTAACAGAGTTGGGAACGACCATATCACTGGCTTAGATTAATAAGGATCCACCTTCTGGATCCAGGCACACCTTTGAGTGAAGCTCATGGCTGAGAGGAGGTAGGGTGACAACTGAACCAAATGGGAATTCAGTTAGGAGGGTCAAGGTGAGGAATGGATGTTGGAAACCAACAGTGTCTATTACACTGCTTTCCTTCATCTTCCTTGGAAACTCATGGAGTCTCAAGATTTCAATTGCCTCTATGCAGATGAGTCCCAAGTCGTTATCTTTGGCCAAGACCCCTCCTGATTTCTAGCTACATATCCAGCATTCAATATTCACATGTTGTTACCTCTAATTCAACTATGTAGGTGAAATTCGTCTTCCCTTTCCTCTCCTCCTCTTCTCTCAAACTCAGTCCTTCTCTTGACCTCCCTATTTCTATTTATGGTAGCATTTAGGCTTACTCTTCATTATGTCCCTTCCCCCAGTCTATGTTAAATTAGTCACCAAGTCCTATAGATTCTTCTTTGGGGAGATATCTCTCATTCTTCTCTTTCCTTCCATAAACCTAACCAGCTGCTTGGGCAGGTACCTCTTCTTTCAGTCTCTTCACACTGTATACAGACACCAAGTAAATCTTCCCAAACAACACTTCAATCATATCATCCCTTTACTAAAGAAATATTTATTCCTATTATCTCAAAGTGAGGTTCCCCAGATCGCAAGTTTACCAGTGGTGCTGATATCACCTGTGAACTTGTTAGAAACGCAAATCCTTGGGCCGCACCCCAGGCTTGCTGGATCAGACATTTTAGTGTTGTGGCTTAGCAGATTGTCTTTTTAACATCTCCCCCTACCCCCACCTCTCCACTCCCAGGTCACAGGATGTCAACTCAAGTTTTAGAAGCACTGAATTTAGGTGTTCTGTTCCACAAAAAATGATTTTTCGGACGATGAATAAAATGGAAACTTGACCTTTTCTTGGCTCTATGTCTCTGATGATATTTCCTCCAAGAATTACAGTGGTGGTAGTCCAGTTGATATCCTATTTTTAATAATGACTCTCTTCCTATATGAAGATCGAAGAAACAAATCTGAGTATTGGGTGTGTATGGTTTGCATTTTGCTTGGTTTATTCAACCTGATAAAAATATAGGCATAGTTTTCAAAGAAACTTATTCCAGTCCCAGTTGTTTTGAGTGGAAGATAAATAGAAAGGAATAGTTTTGTTTTTTTTCTTCCATTTCCTCCCTAAAGCACACACCTATGGCTCCAGGAAACAGATGCACAAAATGACGTGATAGTTTTTGTAAGGCAGAAGACGCAATCAGACTGAGATGTGGAGTTTGACTATAGTCAACGTTATAATTGCTATTTCTCTATATTGAGATATATACATATTAACTAAAAACAACAAAGCCAAGACAACTCCATTCTCTCTGAATAAAGGAGAACGAGACCATTATAATCCCAGGTCCCCTGGTGATGACTTAAATTTTCAAAATTACATTTGACAACACATAGATATTCATGCAGGGAGAAAAAAGAAAGAAAGAAAGAAAAGGTATCATTTCAGATAATTGGAAGGTGCTGAAATCATGGAGCATGACGGGAATGGCATTATTCCCAGGAATGTTGCTTTAGAACTAATCAAGGATCTGGTTGAAGAATTTGTTTTTCACTATCATTTCAATGCCTTTCTGTCACCACAAAGCTAATGTTGTTGCCAGCAGAGCCTCTAAGTGACAGGATTCTAGCACTTGTTGTATTTGAGGCTATTTTATAAACTGGTGTGTTGGCCTTTTGTAGTTGTACTGAAAGCTTTAAAAAAAAAAAAAGAAGTAAGGGGCAAAGCTTTAAATTCTCTATTCAAGTCATGGTTAATAAACCATGCCATTTCAATGATTGCCTTGTCTTATCTCTAGCCAGCAAATAGCAGTGGCAGAGGCTGATCCAGTGGGTTGCTGAATTACAATGTAGGTTGAATTCACAGCTTCATCAAATCTTCAAAGTAAAAGTAAGGAATAAAAAAAATTGAGATAATTTACATTTTTTGTGCTAAGTTTTCAAAGCATGATATGTATTTCACACCTCCATCACAGCTCAATTGAGACAAACCACATTCAAATGCTCAGCAGCCACCTGTGGCTGGTGACTACCATATTGGACAGCACAGATCTGGGCCATAAAGCCAAGCAGGCCAATTAGCACCCATCAGTGAGCTGATTTAATTGGTTTAAGAAGATCTCAAAGGCCTCTTTACTCTGGAGAGTGAGCAGGTGATTCACACCTCCAAGATCCCTACTCGTCCCCCAGCACTACCTCAACCCACTTCTAAGGACTCACCAAGGACTCTCCATGACAAGTTGGGTGGTGGAGAAGAAGAAAATACCGAGTCTGGTTTCCAGATGGCTCGACCCACTATGGGCTGATGGCAGCTGGAAGGGGAAAATGGGAAAGGGAAGCTCATTGGGAAGAATTGTAGCGATACATCTGATTTCCTACTTTCCCTGAAAGGAAACATGTCACTTGAGGACCAATAACTGGTAAAATTCAGTATACCAGTATGTGTTGCCTGATCTATAAGCAAGAGATGGCCTCAGGCTGGGGTTAGCCAATCTGAAGAAGAGATAAAGAGCAATGCTGCATCAGTCAGGTAGGTGTTCTGTGCCTGAAGTCTGTGTTTCAGGTCTTTTAAAGTCCAGTAATTTGGCATTTTGTTGGGGTGGAAGTCAACTACTTCTACACTCCAGGCTGAAGCAGGTTAGATAGTAGCATCCTGAGTAGGAGATCGCCACACTAAGGTGATGGGCCACTGGCAGGGTGGGGTTCAGGTTGTTGTCTTCTCACTTGAGAACTTAGGAATGACAGCACAAATAGGTGAAAGAGTCTCCAGACTTAAAGACTATGTCTAGATAAGACATTTGACTGTGGTTTCCTGTATAGAAATTTAGCAACAACAAATAGATGGGAAGTCTACTAAGTTTTTGAGAGAACTGTACAGCCAAAGAAACCCCAAGCCTATCTGAAACAGCTTGTGCCTATAAAACCCCTTAAATAAATTTCTAGGCCCTGAAATCCATACCACCTGGAAGTGGGCTGCTGAAGCTAAGTAACCCTAAGTGTTATGGACTGAATATTTGTGAAATCTCAAATTTATATGTTGAAACCCTAATATTCAATGTGATGGTATTTGAGATGGGGCCTTTGGGAGGTCATTGGATTTAGATGAGGTCATGAGGGAAGAGCTTCCGTGATGGGATTAGTGTCCTTATAAGAAGAGGAGGAGACCAGAGCGCTCTCTATCTCTCCCCGCCTTCTCTGTCTCTCCCCTTTCTCTATCTCTTTCCCCCTCTCTCCTCCCTGCTTCTTCCCCTTTCTCTCTCCCACTCCCCACCATGTCAAAACGCTGCTAGAAGGAGGCCATCTGTAAGCCAGGAAGGGTCCTCACCAGAAACTGACCATGCTGGCATCTTGATCTTGGACTTCCCAGCCTCCAGAAATGTGAGAAATCAATGTCTCTTGTTTAAATCACCTATTCCATGGTGTTTTATTATGGCAGCCCTAGCTAAGACACCAAGGAAAGAAATACTCTACAATGTCTACCTCAGCTGTGGTGTGAGAGATAATGGACAAGGAAGACCATCCTAGAGTAGCCTGTGTTGGGGTCACAAAGGACAATGGACAAGGAAACTCTCCCGGGGATTAGAACCATGGCCTGTCAGCTGGGTCAACAATAAACCTCCCCGTTGCCATAGTCCTGTTGTGGGTGTGCTGCTTCTACCTTGCAGAATTTGATCACTGCTGGGGAACTGTAACAGCTGTGTGTTTCCTTTTTCTTCCTCCTGAAAAGAGAGTTTTTAAAATGGAAGTTTCGCTCTTCTCTTCACTACCATTTTATATTTGGTTTAATGGGAATAATAAGTCATCTTTTGTCTCATAGCAGCCACATTAGAACCCAACAGAAAGGAATGCACACAGAGAATCTAGGCTTTGAGCTAGATGTAGTAAACACAAGAAATTTGTTTCAGGCATGGGAATGAGTACATATATATGTTTGGGGAGCTGAGAGGATGGAGTCCCCTACTTGCTTCCCAATAGCCATTCTCTGTTTCTTCAGTAACAGAACCCTGGACCATGGACAAACTGAACGGTGTAGGATAGGAACAAACCCTGTAGAAATTACTGAGTTTGAAATAGTTATTCACATACTGTTGAGATCATACTTGTCTTTCTTTTCAGTGAATGATGGCTACAAAATTGTTCAAGGGAAAATGGTAGTAACAGTAGAATGGGCTTTTTAATTAATCAATCAGCTGGCACCAAATTTTGTGGAAAACCCAGTGAGGCTTCTAAACGTCCAGTAGCATCTGATCAATTGTTTGTCACATCTGTAAATGCTCTAACCCTCACTTCTGTCAACAGAAATATTTGTAATGAGTATTCTTCAATCGTGAGATGTTTGGCTCCACTGCACATCACAGATGGAATCTGGGTATAGATTGGGGTTACTCCAGTTAACAGGATTTCAGAATGATTCTGATTCAGTGTTGATATTAGAAAGAGATTGGTTTTCGGTTCTGTTTTGGGTCCTCAAATCATACACACTGAGATATTTAGGGAACTTTGTGAATATTCTTATCCCCATAATGTTCATGTAATATTGGCATAATTCAGTAGAAAATATATCTCTTTGCCACCTTTTAAATTATTCTCAAGACAACGCAACATTGAAGCATAGCAGATCGTTTTAAAGACAGTACTCTCTCCCTGTTTATTGCAAGAATCTACTACTAATCTCAGGTAAGCAGGCTGTTGTCATAAAAATGGAATGTGAAAACATCCACATAGATGGTCTACTTTGAATTTTCTTAATTTTAAACGTTAGATTTGCAACACACTGAATGAAAAGCCGACTTCATCAAAGAAGTAGAATTTCTCTTTTATTTCTTACCTAGCTACTCATTTCAGAAGCCTGTTTTTTCCAGGAAATTCCTGCGCTGAGTCTAGGGTTCAATCTTACACACATACTTTCCAGCATATGATCCTAAATAAGCTGCGGAATGATAAGATGAACAAAAGCAACACCAGAGGGTTGCTTTTCTTGCTTTCTCTTCTTTTCAAAAAGGAACAATAGGTTTATTGTGCAGGCCTCCAAATCACAAAGTAGCTTACGAAAACTGCAGGTTCGAAGGTAGTTGATGTTTCACTGTAGTTTAAAAGCTCTTTCCAAGCTTAGACTAACACGTCGATAGTTGAAAACTATCTGGACATGTTATATGTTCTGGATGTTAATCTGAGGCTTTCAAGAGGACCTATACCTTTAGACCTTCACATTAGCCAACTGGCCTTAAATCCCTCCTAGAAGAAGGCAGGGTAGAAATCAGCCCATTGGTTAAATTAAATCAAATTAATACAGTTGATCCACATTTGTTGAGACAGCTTTGAATCTAGAGTATCTGTTCCTCTTATCTACTGAGCCTCATTAAAGATGCAACTGCCCAAAGCAACTTTATGAGTGATATACCCTGAAATGATACAAATTAAATGATTTCTTAGGGCAATGTGAAAGAGCTTCCAGATAATTTTACAATGTAATGAGTCAAAAGCACTAACTTCATTTTGCCGCTGTCTTTTTCTGTGTAAAAAGATGGAATTTGTTTTTTTCTGGAGAGAGAGTTACCATACGATGGTTTGCTTACATTTTATTTTCATGTGAACATAAACATCTCCCAACCTCAGAATTTCACATAGATGTCAGACGAAGGAAGGCTCTGCTATGAAAACTAATGTTTGCCGTCAAATAAACTACCAGAGCCATTGGCCACTGTGAATGATGATGGGTTTTCTGGGACTTACACCATTTTAGTGCCCACTGAGGATAAATTTTGGGCACTTCCAGTACATGGATAAACTGGGGATATACAGTTGTCCTGAGCACTGAATCGACTATGGTGTTTTTCCAGGGAGTTTGTTCAAAATGAGTCTTCAAGGCTTCAAACCATTGGGCCCAGATCTCATATGCTTATGAGACCTCATGTGTTTTATAAGAAGATATAACCAAACTGCATGTTGTCTTTTTTCCTCCCCTGCTTCCTTTTAAATCTCTTTTGCGTTACTTCTTTTAGTTTGTTCCCTTGCTTTAAAATTTATATGAACCATCGTCTTAGAATATTATTTTAAATTTCAAAGGAGGCCTTGGATTTGAAAACAGTTTTTTAATTTCCCCCACATTTGGTCTGGGTGGTGATTGTACTAAATCAGCCTTTTACGGAAACACTATCATTAAAAACTTCTCATGGTCTCTAGGGACAGGATTTGGAAGCACAACACAAGCCTTTCTGATTAGGGCTCTGGGAACTCCCACTTTGTTTGCAATGGTTTTGTTTTGTTTTTGATTTATAATAACTTCCAGCGAATGGTCCTGTTTTAGAGCTATTTAAAGAAATTCTAAACTAAAATTGTAAAGGAACTGGATGAAAAACATTAACAAAAAACATTAACACAATAAATAAATTTGTGTCCCCACCCCCAGCAGTGCACAATCCTTCAAACCTTCCTCCTTATTTTTACCCTTTTCTTTGATTTGACTTGCTGCCGCCCTTAGCCTCCCTCCTCACCCTCAGGGGGCCTGGCCATTTCTCTGGGCTTTAGAGGCTTGTAGCTGCTTCCTTTCATTCTTTCTCCTGTAATCCTCCAAGCTCTCGGTTCTGTTTCACCCTCCCACTAACTTTTCTTGTTTTCCATTGCCTGATCTTCCTGCGGGCCGCTCCACCATCTTTCTCTTCATTTCCTTTACCCTGAAGCTCAGAGGCCTCTTTTCCTTGCCTTCCAGTTCATTCTGCTACTAATCAGAAGCCACCTCTTAATCTTGGAGGCTTTCTTTTTGTTTTTCTTTTTTTTTCAGAAATCAATTCAAATCTGGACTGATGGTTTTGTGGAACTCTCAGAGCAGGAGTTTCCTGACCTAGCGAAGCAAACAACAGAGCATAGCATCCTAGGTTTCAGAAGGAATTGTTCTGGCTTAAGGAGGATAACTAAACATGCCTCTCCCCACTACAAGCTATGAAAAATAGATAGGGGAGGCAGATGGGAGCTCAAAATATGAGCTATTGATAAATATTGATACTTATTGATAAAGCTGGACTAGAGACCCTGGCTTGACCCGTGGTCAGAACCAAGCTTCCACCTTAAACTGTCCCATCTGGTCACTGGCAGAGCAGCCAGGCAACCAAATATTGAGAACCCTCCCCAGGTACCTCACAGCATGGAGGAGGGACAAATGTGAGGCTGCTGAGAGCTCTCGTGTTTCAACCTTGGCGATGCCCCTCTCATACTGTTCCCTCCAGGAACATTATGCAAATGCAAGTACACAGCTAATGCTGATGCTCAGCCCCTAATTTTAGCCATTAGATCAAATCATGTGTAAGAATTAATTTAAATTAACCTATCCCTTTACCTAAGCCATCAATACAATTTTATAAAATTCTGACTGAACACTCGGTAACTTTATGAGCACCAAGGATGCAAAAGTGAATTGGGCACAGACAACTTAGGCCAACATGGTACAGATTCAGGAAAGTTATACATAATTGTATGCAAAAATATTGTCTAGGAGTCCCGTATGAAAAATCCTCACGGAGAAAGCGATCTTTGTTTGGTAAGTGCTTTTATAAATTCATTTAGGCAGAATAGACGGGTTTTGTAAAGCTTGAAACATATAGAATTTGGAGGGCCCTTTCTGATAGAATATAAAATTATGAATTTAAAATCAGGTTCAAAAGTTAATGTCTAGGATGAGAATAGAAATCACAAAAGAATTCCTAAGGCCTTGGAGATACAGGTCCCTTGCTTCTGAGATCTTTTGAGGCATTTTCTCAGAAATGCTCCACATTTGCCCCTTGGTTTCTTGCTCCACCTGGAACACTCTACAGCTCCCAGTGACTCCCAGAACTCAGAAGGAGTGTGCAAGTGGTGCCTGAAACTTAAGTGTCAATGGCTTCAGGGTCAATCTGCTATAGGGTAAATTTCCAGAGTTTGAGTGTGATTGGACCATATCTTTGAATAGTGGGGGGATAACTTTGCAAAAATGAGAGGGGCATGGAAGAACTCTATACCATACAGTGTACCATGATGGCCTCCCATACCCCCACCAATCTTCAGGAAAAACTACCAACATCACTTTAGGCCCCTTGTGTTTGTGTTTGTGTTTCTTATGAAAATGGGTGAAAAATTACTTCGGCGTCTTGGTTGGTGTGGGATCAAAACGGAGCCGAGAAGTGAATAAACATGTAAATTATCTACGTTGCAGTATCTTCGATGCCATGATAGATTTTTATTGGAACTATGCTTATAATATATAACAGTATATACACCAAACCCTTACAAAATATAACACACACTCATATATTGTAAGGATATTTACATTTGCATCTGGTACTAGATTAATTTATGCCATATCTCAAACTGAAAATATCTAAAATCATTAATTTTTTTCCTGAAGGTTTCTCATGTATTTCAGACCTCAGTTAATGTCACTTACATCCATGCCATCCCTCCAAACCAGAATCCAAAGTCACCAAGTCTTGTCTGTTGCACTAACGATGTAAGATTTGTTCCCCTCTTCCCTGTCTTGACCAGTGGGTGCCCTTTTAAAGAGCCCTGCTGTCTCCTAAGATGATGAAGGCTGCCATGGTAGACAGAATAGTGCCCCGCCCCCACCAAAGATGTCTACATCCTAGTCCCTGGAACCTGTGAGTATGTTACCTTACGTGGCAAAAGAGACTTTGCAGATGTGTTTAAGGGGACAGACCTTGAGATGGGGAGACTATCTTGATTTTCTGAGTCCAATGTAATCACAAGGGTCCTTATAAGAGGGAGACAGCAGGCTCAGACTAAAAAGAGAAGGAAAAGTGACTCTGGAAACAGAGGGAGAGGGAGGGGGTGAGGGAGGAGAGAAAGGGAGATTTTTGAAGATGCTAGATTGCTGGCTTTGAAAATGGAGAAAGAGGCCACTCCTGCGAGCAATGTAGATAGCTTCCAAAAACTGAAAAAGGCGACAAAACAGATTTTCCCCTGGAGCTGTCAGAAGCGACACAGCCCCAACACCACCTCGACTTTAGCCCAGGACTTGAGGCCTCCAGAGCTGTAAGAATAATGAGTTTGTATTGTTTTAAGCCACTGTGTTTGTGGTCATTTTGTACGGCAGTAATGAGGAGCTATTACAGTGTCGATAATTCATTCTTTGCCACTGTGGTTGAAATGGTCCCTTCATCAGTCTAGAGTATTAAAAAAGCTAACACAGTTAAAAAAAAATTAACTGAAAGTTAAAGCCTTCACTTTCTTTCCTTTCAGGCTTTCTTCTTTTCTTTGTGTTGATGCCGAATTCTAGGAACCAACCTAGAACGAAGAGGTAGGTCAGTGCTACTTAGAAACCCCAGGTGGCAAGAGAATAGGGGACGCTGATCCACCAGAGCTGGTTTGTGGGTTTCATAGCATCTCAGTGGAAAACCTGTGGAGTTGGGGCACAAGCATCTACTGCTGTGATGGTGGTCTTGCTGGGCCGGGCCTTAGTGGTTATTCAGCTGAGGATGATCCTGGTCTCTCAAAAGGCCAAGCCATTTTCCTAATGCTGTCGTATTCACACCTGGAGATGCTTCCAGTCTTAGCCACTCTGTGCCAGAACCCCTAAGCCCTGCTGTTAAGGCTTATTACTAGTCCAGACACCCTTTCCCTAAGAAGGAGCCCTTTTTACAGCTCCTTTTACTGCCAAGAGACCTCAGTGGATATCATCTCAATGCATTAAAGATGTCAAAAATCCATTTAATCTTCAAGGAAAATGAATGGGATCACAACCTCTTTCCTTCTAAGGAGGCAATTTGGTCCAACGTAAAACTTCTGCCCCACTCCCTTGTGAGCAGCTCTCTACACCCGGGATATTGGGAAGAGACAAAAGACACAATTTCATCTTCCCCAGAGAAATAGAGCCCGTCCCCCTTATCTTACATAATAGCCTAGAAGTAAGGACAGTAGGTTACTGGGAAGCCAATTTTCAATATTGTGGGAAGAAACACTTTGTCCTCTATAGGTTGTCACTAAAAGAACCAAACATTACAAGAGTTAAAAAGCTAAGCGGCATCTTCAGGAAGAGACGTAAGTGCCCTGAAAGTTCCCATCACTCATGTAACTTGAAGTCTGGTCATTGCCACAGTCCCAGTGTGCCGCGGCTGTGTGGGTCTCCTCCGGCTTTCTCTGCCTTTAGAAATGTGAATTAGTGAATTGCTGGAATCACCACCGGACACACGCTCCAGTTTCTAGAGGAGAAGATGACTGCCAGGAGCTGCATTTGGAACGATCTTTTGGCCACCTGAAAACTGACTGAAACTGCTATTTCACTCACTGTTACCTTCTGCTTTTTAGAAGCGTATCAACTGTCTGGGGTGCCTTGATTCCAGCAAATATTCCCTGTTATTCTATTTTCTTTTTATTTTACAGATTTTAAAGTTTGGGCTCAAGTGACAAGGAAGAACAAATCTAATTTTATATTTTCACTAACATCTCCCCTTGTCTTAAATGTCTACCCCGGGCCTTCATCTAGGCAAAAGTAAACAAAGATACAAAGAAATAAAAGCTTTAACAATTTTAAAGAAATTTATTGAAACATTCTGTCTTCTAGGCACTGTGCCAGGCGCTGAAAATATAAAAATGAATTAAATCTAGTCCCTGTTCTAGAGAACTCCCAGTTTCGTGGTGGAATAAAGCACATCGCCACTGTTAAGTACATAATCACTCAGTTGATATCTGAGCTCCTACTTTGTGCAAGTTTCTGTAGTTTCAGAACTGAACACAACAGACATGGAGCCTGCCCACCTGTAGCTTAGAGTCTGGCAAGCAGAGCAGCCATGCAACTAATTTTTGTAACTATGATCAAAGCATTATATGGAAATGTTTAAGAGGGCCACCACTTCAAACTTGAAGGGCAGGACAAATATTGGTTTGGAAATAGTGGTGACAATTAGGGGTGGGAGCGGGAAAGATGGCAGAGAGAAGCACGTACATGTACAAAAAGTCTTGAGGCTAGAACAAGTATGAAGTGTCCTGAAAACGAAAGGCAAGCTGTTAGGGTGGAGTAAAAAGTGGGGGGAGGGGAGGACGCATGGGTTATGCTTTAAAACCTTAACAGTAGGTGAACTATCTCAAGGATAAAGATACATCAACATCAAGAACTTTTTCTTACGATAAAACAATTGTACATGTTTATGTGTGTTGCTTCAGGTACTTATTCATCCGATAAACACTTCCCGAAAGCTCATTATGTGCTAGCTCTCTGGTAGATGCTGAGAATAAAAAGATGAAAAAGGCAGGGTCTTTATACGCACATTAAGGAACAGTTTGTATCAGGATGGAGGCAGATACAAGATAGGATAAAAACAGAGATGAAGAAACAATCCTATGTTCACGCTATTTTAAAAAGAGGTACAATTCTTATGCAACTATTCTGGGATTTCTGGCCCAAATCAAGTCTAAAAATAATAAAGGCCAGCCTGGTGGCATAGTGCTTAAGTTCACGCACTCCACTTCGGCACCTGGGGTTTGTGGGTTCAGATCCTGGGCGTGGACCTACACGCTGCTCATCAAGCCATGCTATGGTGACATCCCACATACAAAGTAGAGGAAGATTGGCATAGGCATTAGCTCAGGGACCATGTTTCTCAAGCAAAAAGAGGAAGATTGGCAACACATTTCGCTCAGGGCCAATCTTCTTCACCAAAAATAAAAAACAAGGGAGTGCTATATGGCTGTAGAACTCCAATTTGGTTATATGTTTGACTCTGGGCAGGTTTTACATTTGCAAGTGCCTGAGTTCCTGTTTAGACCTAGTGGATTTCAATCTGTGGAGGTGAGACCCAAGAATCTAGAATTTTAAAAACCACCCCCAATGATCCTGTGTATATTCTGCAAATGGCATTTGGAAACTACTGAAGCAGAGCATGGTACCTGTGAGGCCACAGAGGCATTTCCCAAAAGTGTGCTGCAGGCTGTTAATAGGTGACATTTGAAAAAAGGGATTAGCGGTCTAATGGGTTAAACTGTGTCCCCATCCCTCCCAAATTCTTAAGTGAATCCTAACTCCCAGTACTGCAGACTATGCCCTTATTTGGAGATGGGGTCTTTATAGGGTTATCAAGTTAAAATGAGGTCATTAGGGTAGATCTTAATCCAATATGACTGGTGTCCTTATCAAAAGGAGAAATTTGGACACAGATCAATCCACAGGGAGAACGCCATGTGAACATGAAGACAGCCATCCACAAGCCTCAGAGAGAGGTCTGGAACAGACCCTCCCCTCGGAGTCCTGAGAAGGAACCAATTCTGTTAACACCTTCGTCTCAGACTCCTGGGCTCCAGAATTGAGAGACAATAAATTTCTGCAGTTTAAACCACCTGTTTGTGATACTTTCTGAAGTCAGCCCTAGCAAACTAATGTAAGCAATTAAGCGAGTTTTGGAAATTCTGAATTAAAGAGAGTTAAAAAGATTTATCGGCTGCAGGGAGCTCAGAAGCTCAGATGTGCTAATGTGTCCCGTGGCCCTCTGAGAGGGCACAGCGTGTGTACCTCATCCCAAATTTGAATGACAGAATGCTTTTCATTTATAGCAGAGATTTCGTGAGACCGGTGTGCTGTGGTCCCAAGGCAGGGAAAGACTGGGCTCACTTCTCTTGAGGAACTAGCCATGTTGTGGCTCATAACCGCAGAAAGGTCAGCCTCATGGAGCTTGGCTGCTTTCAGTAAATGTGTGGAGGTCAACATTTTTGAATGCAATAGTTCAGATCCATCACACCTCCTGGAAAAACCAGCTCTAAGGAAATAACCTACTGGAAGTTATCAGAAACCATCTTTCTTGATCTATGAATCCTTTGATTCTTGCTGTTTTGTATCAGCGACACTAGAAGCAGCCTTTTGAAGGGAGAAAGCCAAGAAGTACTGTGTTGTCTCCTTTAGTGGGAGTTGTTCAGGAAATGTAGGAAAAACATATGCAGGGGTGATTCTATCAAACTGAACACTCCACTACACACTTGTCTTCCAAGCACTCCATTTATTCCTATTGTTCTCTCATACCTTGCCAAAATGGTGATCCATCTTTCTGGAAATGGAACATTGAGAGAGAAATGGACCATTGTTACTGTCACTGGTTAAAAAGCAAGACTGCAGGGGCCGGCTCCATGGCCGAGTGGTTAAGTTCGTGCGCTCCGGTGCGGGGGCCCAGGGTTCGGATCCTGGGCGCGGACATGGCACCACTCATCAGGCCACGTTGAGGGGGCGTCCACATCCCACAACTAGAAGGACCTGCAACTAAGACACACAACAGTGGACGGGGGGGTTTGGGGAGATAAAGCAGAAAAAAAAAAAAGCAAAATTGCAAAAATTTAACTTGTGTATTTTGGTTATTAAACACACACACGCAGAGTGACGGAAATGGGAACTAAATGAACCCAGGCTTTTTAAAAACTTTTGCAAAATTGCAGCACTTCAACTTATTTATCTCATGTTTTACATTATTTAGGGCTGGACTTATATATATGAAAGTTTTAGACTTCATATTTGATCTACAATTGTGACAAATGTTTGTGAACACACCCTGTAAAAAGTTGGGATCGTGCAAACAAAACATTCATCAACTTTTGCGTCATCTTTGAAAGCCATTATTTATAAATGCAACCCACCCTTCACAGACCCCTTCAGCTCCACCTACCTCCTGTAGACTTGAGGATTCAACTCATTCAACATTTGCCCCCCATCTCAACAGTTTCCAGTAACCAGTGCCCTCTGCAAACAAAAATGCAGTGCCTTTAGCTCTATGTCCAGAGTTTCTGACTTATTCGGTCTGGGTAAGTTGAGAAACGTTTATATTTTTAACAGGCATCCCAGGTGAATCTAACGATCAGCTCAATTTGAGAACTGAAACTACTGATTCGGCATTTGCCATATGCTGCCTCGTCTGCTAGTCAGCCTTCCTCATTCGGGCCCATCCTTTCCTTAACTGAATTAAATTTTTTTAAATTTAAAAACTATGTTTCTGAGAGCTAAAAAGTTATTTCAATGCTATTCTTTCATCTCTGTAAGTGTCCTTTTGTTCTTTGTTACAGTGGTTATCGGTCTCCTCTGGCAATTCTATTTTAGCAGAAGAATATTCATCTTGGCGTGTAGATTATTATTCCTCAATCTGACTATTGGTTCCCTTTGGGGTGTTCATCATTTTCACTGCAGACCCTGGTTCTAATTGCCTGGGTTAGTGTTTAGAGGAGGTGCAGGAATGGAGGGAGATACAGCATTCTTGGTCCCTATTGGGAAATTGTCAAGAGGAAGTCCCTTCCCCACAAAGCTACAAGGTGGCCAACTAGCCTCAAGGGCAGAAAGGACCTGAACCCGTCTGTCTAGCTCCGTCCAAACTCTTCCAAAACCAGGGAAATCAGCAGGTGCCTCCAAGATCATCTCTCAGGCTTGCCCACTTCCCTTTTGGGTTCACAGATCCCCCAGAGCTGCACTCTCTCCAGGAAGCTTGGTGCTCTGATTCTTGCCCCCAGTTCATCATTATTTGTTCATGGAAATCAGCTCACTGCCAGCTCTCTCTAGCTGGACCCGCACAGATGGGAGGTCTTGCATGCATCCTCCAGGCTCCACTTACTACCCCACCCCAAAGATGCTCTACTTAAGATAGGTAGCTGGAAGTTGATTAGAATTCGAATGCTGGGCAGGGCGGGGGGAGTCTAGGAGAGGGAGTAGTATGGGTGCTCAGGTCACCATTTTCCCAGCATTCTCTCACTGTTATTGAACTTTCCATCTGTGCATGCCTGATTTCTCCAGCTAAGGGAATTTGGATATATCTCTTAACCTCACCGTGACTTACTTTCCTTATTTTGAAAGCAGAGATAATAATAACCTCCACATAAAATTGGCATTTAAATCACAGCTATCAGTATTGCACACTCTTTCTGTGCCAGGCACCTGGCTAAGTAATTTACATGCATTAATGCCAGTGAGATAACACAACCGATGCACTTAGCATGTGGCCAGGCACAGGTGCGTGCTCCATACATGCCAATTGTTCTCTTCTGTTCTTGCTCTCAGTTGCTGACCTCAATGAGGGTAGATGCCGTCTTGCACGTTTTTACAGTCCCCCCGTCCCCTCTGCACTTTATACCCTATCTTGCATAGAGGCACTCAATGTATTTGTTGGTTGACTAACTGAATAAATCATATGCTTCCAAACGGCATTTCCTATTTTCTCTACACTTGGTCAACTCAATTAATTTTATGTTTCTAAAAGCTCCAGCTAAAACTCACTTCTTTTGCAAAACTGCATGTAATCTCTCTCCTCTAATAGAATTTCATCTACACGTTTTATAGGTTACTTATTCCCAATTTTACCTCACATTCAGGTTATTTCTGTATATGAGCTATATTCCTTCCTAGAATCCACTCCTTCTCTGCTCCAAGTCAAGGACCGTCCTATATCTGGAGCACCTTCTGTTAAATCCTGCCCCTAAAACCCGGGAGAATTGCCACAGGAAATGAGAGAGGAATCCTTTCTTCATTTCTTCAAGAGGAAAAGCAGTCAACTTGGAAATGGATCATGTGAAGCAAGACAAATTTTGCAAGTTAGAGGGTGGATATGCAGGGAAAATACGGTAGAAGATCCTGGTAAAATGTTGTGTTGGCATAACTTGGGCATCTCGCTCTCTCTTGTGAGTACTTTTTTAAGTGAGTTTTTTTCCTACGATGCCCATAGGCCCATCTACTCAAATAAATTAGCATTTCTATCTCAATTGACTCAGCTTTTCTTTTTAAATGATTAATTAATATTTTAGTATAGTCACTCTATATTTTACAAAAACTTTCTTTTATAAGTAATTGTGTTTTGGAGGACAGCTCTTCATGAGTTGGAATCTGATCGTGCTTTATGGCCAATAGCTACCCCAGCCGTAGGTGCTGGGGTTCAGCTTAGTGTAATACACACTCATTCGTTGTATGGTGTGGGCTCTGCCTTATGGTAGGAACTTTTAGGAGAACCCGACTTGAGTCCCTGCCTCCTGTGACTAGAAGCCAGCAATGGTCAGGAGGTAAGAACATGGATATGGACATTCACACACCAGGGTTTGACTTCTGAAATCCCACTTCCAATACCCTCTGGATCCATAATAAGCTTGATATGCAACAAGCTTTTAATATATATTAACTATTATTACTGATAAGGAAGTAGGATGCTTGGAAAAATTTTCTAAAGTATAGGTACTGAAAGACAAGGTCCTAGTTTGGTTTATTTTGGAAGATTCCACACTGCCCGGCACAGGATCCTACTGCAGGTGTTGGGGCTAACCACTTCCAGAGTGTGAAGTTGTGCCTGGAAGGTGGCTGCCCCATCAGGGAACACATTTCTCAACCACCTTGCATTTGGTGTAGCTATGTGATTGTGGCTGTGTGAGCAGAAGGTGGTTACAAACAGCGGAGCCTTCTCAAGCTTCTTTTCCATTATCTTGGATAAAGGCAGAGGACTCCAAGGCTCTAGAAGATGGTG